ACTCGCTAAGCGAGGCACCACTGTATTAATATCAAAACATTAGGATAGAATTATATTCCAAAAATCTATTTTAATTTATTTTCTTTACCTCATTAAAAATGTCTTTTTATGCAAATGTGGCAGGGAGGATCGCAGATTACTTGGCTATTATAAAAGGGGTCATGACTCAAAAAAGGGTGGGAAACGCTGCTCTAAAGGAAGGACACTGCAGGGATACAGAGAAGAGTAACCAGAATGACACAGAGACTGTGGCAACTTCCCTATGAGAAGAGATTATAAAATCTTGACCTCCTAAATTTAGGAAAATAGTGAATAAGGGGATAAATGATAACTATGTATAAAATTATGTAAGCTGTGGAGAAAGTGGATAAGGAGAAAAACTGTCTACCTCTCTCATAGTATGAAAGCCCACAGTCATCTCCTGAAGTTAAATGTAGGATCGCAGATTACTTTGCTATTATAAAAGGGGTCTTGACTCAAAAAAGGTTGGGAAACGCTGCTCTAAAGGAAGGACACTGCAGGGATACAGAGAAGAGTAACCAGAATGACACAGAGACTGTGGCAACTTCCCTATGAGAAGAGATTATAAAATCTTGACCTCCTAAATTTAGGAAAATAGTGAATAAGGGGATAAATGATAACTATGTATAAAATTATGTAAGCTGTGGAGAAAGTGGATAAGGAGAAAAACTGTCTACCTCTCTCATAGTATGAAAGCCCACAGTCATCTCCTGAAGTTAAATGTTTGGAGATTCAGAACAAAGCGACATACTTTTTCACACAATACGTAATTAAATTCTAAAATTCATCACCACGAAGAGTAGTGAGTGCCCCCACTTTGACCAGCTCTAAAGGGTGATTGGACAAAAGCCTGGAGCAGTCAAGGCCTATCAGTTACAATCAAAGTTTGGGAAAGTTACCTTTTTTAAAGACTACAACACCCAGAATCTCACAGTCAATATGTGCCATATATAAAATTCTGGGCCATGTCGTCCAAAAATACCATATTTTTCCATGTATAATACGCCCCCATGTATACCCCCCCTTTTTCTAATCCAGAATTTCTTTCTTCAGAAGAAAGTGGAGGGGAAAAGCAGGAATCATCAAAGCGATTCCTACTTTCCCCTTCCACTTTCCTTGCAATAAAGTGCTTTCTTGCAAGGAAAATAGAGGGAGAAAGCACTTTCTTGCAAGGAAACTAGCCCTGCTGGCCCCCTACCCACTTGTAGGGCCTGTTCATATCCACTGTGAAATTCCATATATGAGGCAGGGTGGCTGCATGAAAGAAGCCTTGCCCTGAATCACTCTTGGTTTGTTGCCTTGTTTTGATTCCGAGTCATGACAACTCTTTCAGGGTTTTCTGGGTATAGAGCACTCAGAAATGGTTTACCATTCCCATCTTTTGGGGGCACCCTGTGACTGTGCAGCTTGCCCAAGGCCACACAGGCTGGCTCTTCCCCCAGAAGGCACAGTAATGTATTTATTTCTTGAACCCTGGCACTCCAACACATTGAGCTATCCAGGAAGCTTTTAGGTCCTGTTGAGATCACCATGGAAAAGTAATTATGACTGAAGTGCATTGGTTTCGATGGGAACAATGTGCAAAACTGTTGCACACCACTCACTATGTTTAGTTTGACAGCTTAGTTTAATGAAATAGTCCGTTGTGGGGGTTTCATCTGCAGAAGCGGTGCTTTCAAACGTAGGGAGGGCAATACACAGTCAATTGTAACTTGTTTGAGGAAGTTATCCACTTTAAAAATGAATGTGTGTACAAATATTAACACAGTAGGCAGGACAAAGAAACAGACTGCTTACGAGCACTCAGACATGGTGCATAATAGAAGAGTGATTGACACTCTGCTTTCACTACCAAGTCCATCAATACAAAGAAGAACCATTGTTCAGTGAATATGTGTAGTAGCAGTATGATGGGGGGAAAATCTGTAAAATCCTAATGAATCTCACTTTGATTGATCACTTGGTGATGGTAGAGATTTGATTTGTTTCCAGTTTCATTGTGAACTACAGAATGGCTTGCTTTTTTGAGCCATCTGGATTGCATTTAGTTAAATGTACTTTCTGACCTAGTCACCTCTCTCGTGTGGAACAACTTGCTCACTCCTGCTTTTTTTTTTTGCTTGGGGCAGACTGTGAAAATACATGTTGGAAGAAACAACATCCCAGATGAGACATCACATCTTTGCTCCAGTCAGTGTTTGCCTCACCACAGTTTTGGCCATGGTTAATTGTTATTGGTGTGATAGGGGTTTATCATCCAGTATTATTACGTAACTCACACTGTTTTATTACCACTAGTAATGCAAATACATTCCCATCACTCCTGCTCCCATGCTGGAAGTGGCAAAGGCCATGGATGGCCACATGCCAATGATGTCATCAGTAAGTGACTGAAGGCTCCTAAAGGCTCAACAAATTTTAGAAAGGAATCTGGGAGGCCTGGTTTGTGTGCGTGCTTTAGTTTTAATCGATTATTCATTTCTCGAGCGGGCTAGCAGGCTCTAACTGTACCTAACATACCAAATCATAGTTTCAAAGGAATTAAAAAAGGCTAGACCAATCACAACATAAGGCTCCGCAAAATATTCTAGTTTAATTTTTAGACCAGGTTCTAATAGAGATCACCATATGCTGGAGTGAGACAGCCACCTCACATAGCTGATCTGATGCCCTATTTGCCATCTCAGGGTAGCAACTTATTCGTTAATTTATTAATACCTTATTTTTGTTCCTAATGACTGGCTTTTGTAGGACTTTCTGCCTCAAATGCCAAAATAACTAGAACTTAGAAGTAAGTAGTGACAAATAACGGGTGACTTGTAATTAATTCCTTTTCTTAATAATGAAGATATTGCAAAATTACAACGGCAACGTAACTCGGGATATGTTATTCCCCTTTCCAGTATGGTTTACCTATTCTTCTATTTACAGGGGCTTCACAAAGTGGTAACACAGAAGGAATAACACATGGCTCAAGTGCTACATCTCATGTTCTGTTATGGAGGTTGGGACAACAAACAGAGAAGTTATTTTGCAGCATTCAAAATAATGTGTGCATATTGGGGGGCCATTTCCCTGCCCTGAATGGGGTTACACTCCCCCTAAGGGACAGGGTCTGCAGCCTGGGGGTGCTCCTGGACCCCAGTCTAATTCTGGAAGCCCAGGTGGACTCGGTGGCCAGAGGCGCCTTCCTTCAGCTGCGGAAATCAAAAGATGCCTGCTGCTTGGGAGGAAAGCGATGACAAACCTAGATCGCATCTTAAAAAGCAGAGACATCACCTTGCCAACAAAAGTCCGAATAGTCAAAGCTATGGTTTTTCCAGTAGTGATGTATGAAAGTGAGAGCTGGACCATAAAGAAGGCTGACCACCAAAGAATTGATGCTTTTGAATTGTGGTGCTGGAGGAGGCTCTTGAGAGTTCCCTCGACTGCAAAGAGATCAAACCTATCCATTCTGAAGGAAATCAACCCCGAGTGCTCACTGGAAGGGCAGATCCTGAAGATGAGGCTTCCATACTTTGGCCATCTCATGAGAAGACTCCCTGGAAAAGACCCTGATTTTGGGAAAGCATGAAGGCAACAGGAGAAGGGGACGACAGAGGACGAGATGGTTGGACAGTGTCACCAAAGCTACCATCATGAATTTGACCAAACTCTGGGAGGCAGAGGAAGACAGGAGGGCCTGGCGTGATCTGGTCCATAGGGTCACGAAGAATCGGACATGACTTAATGACTAAAGGGCCTTGGAATTATGACAGTAACTAATTACTTAAAAAAGCTCTTCAAGTGTTGACAATAACTTGGACAAGTTTGGAAATAATTAGGGGGAGTAGACACAGATTTGCATAAGTATACAGGCATTATTTTACAAGTACACATGATTTGTAAACCATTGTTGTCATTTATAACCATAGTACATCTCACCATATTGGGGAAATCTGTGTCTAGGCAACCTCTGCACTTTTTCTATCCATTGTTCAGGGCAGTTTCTTCTTACTTCATTTCTATCTCACACTTGAATTTGACAACCCTTCATAGGACAGCTTCCAACTGAGGAGTATCCACTGACAGCCCTTCAAAGAGGAGCATCATTTGTAAAGCATGGCACAAAACTGCCCAAATTTTAGTGGCAGCTGGGTGAGAGAGCGGTGCACTTTGATGTTGTGCCATTTGACACCTCTGAGAAAAGCACAAAGTAATAAGATGTTTGCCTTGTCTATTCTAATAGGGTTTGCTTTTCCCATGGATATGCTGGGATTAGGTTCAGATGCTCTTTCATAAATAAAAACAGAGACTCTCATATGTGGAAGGGATTGTGACATCTTCGCCTCTAGACGCAGAAAATATAATGAACACATGGAGTTGTCAAGAAAGAGAACCCATCTCACATCTCTTTGACATCTTCTAGGAGGAAACAATGTCTTTCCTCGGCAGATCTCAAGAGAGAAAATCCCTTGGTATTCTTCATGGTACTTCTTTCTTTTGAATTCTCTCTTTAAACAAACTTAAACTTTAATCTCTCCTCTTTTCTTTCTTTAAAGTCTCATGTAGGGTGAAGGAGTCTCAGGAAAGTCCTCTTCTAAAACTTGCTTATGTACAAGCAAAACCTGAACCGTGTAATGACACAAAGTAAAATAAGTACCTTCACAGAGAATGCTTGTGTTTGGTGATACTAATTTGACTGGAGGGTGAGTGTGATTCTCTCTCTGATTTGGCAAAGGAGGAGTGATAACAATGATGAGGGTGTCCACTGCTCCATCAACAAGATATAGATGGACATCATCAAAAAGAGGACATGGAGTTGAAGGGATACCAAAAAAGGGGACATGCTTTACAAAAAAAGAATATTTTGCATTAAAAGTTGCATATGCTAATATAAACAAATACATGCAAATATCATCACAATTGGATACTATTTCTGTAATTTAAGTGGGAATACAGAAGTGCTCAATCTTACCATGCTGCACAAGACTGTGACCAGGTAGCCACCTTGGGACACACCACTGATAGAAATATGGGCTATATCTGAAATAAATAAATAAGGCTCAGTATTTACTAACCCTCTGAGATACCCTGTTGTGTATTTTCTGCAGCTTATTAAAAATCAATGTCTATAGAAAGAAAACAAAAAGAGGACACTGTAGTTTTGTTCAAATCTCTAGCTAGGCAATAATTAGCTATTTCAGCAAAATGGTCTGAATCGTGCTTCCAGAACGGCCACTTCTGGGACTGACTGATGTTTGAGTTTGTGTGTGTGTGTTTTTTTTCTTACAGAAGCCCCCCCCCCCATTTACTTAAAAAAGGAGAAACGGCAGACCAGATATTTACAAATCAAAGCCATTGTGTGTGTGTGTATGTGTGTGTGTGTTGGGGTGCCTCCTACATATTACCAAAAAGGCGGTCAGCTCTTTAAATGGAGGACTGCCTTCCCTAAAGGAGGAATTATGGCTAACTTAACACCAATAGGGTAATCCTCTATAAGAACAGTGATCTGGATTCTCAACTAGAAAATGTTGGTGTGGTTGTATTCCAATCATAGGTGTAGCTATGGGCACAGGGCAGGGCCAAAGCAAAGTGGATGAGATATAAATCTTACCAACTTCTTTCACTGCAACATTTTTTGGGTACACTTATCTTTCCCAGTTTACATGTGGCATAAATGTTTACTCAAAAATAAGCCCCATCAATTGTATTTGGACTTCTTCCCAGATACTATGGTTTAGGATAGCAGCCTGAAATAAAGATGGAGGTAAGATCCAACCATGAAGTTAAAATATAAAGACACCACAATAGGTCTAGAAGTAGCATGCAATCTATTCAGCAGGTAACAAAAGGGAGATAGTTGTCTCTAAAGGTTACAAAGTGCCTTTGCGTAGGTGTGCTTTCTTCCATCTTTGCTTAGAAGCAAAATGAGATACTTGGGATGTGGTGGTGGTGGGATATGGCATGGAGGCTTAGAAAGTTGTTGCTCACTCACTTTTCACGGATATAGCCTTTTAAAGACAGCCTCAGTTCCTAATAGTACTTATCTAACGGACAACAGGCTGTACCTGTTTCCTTGCTATATGTTAAAAGCATTGGTCTCCTGGGGCTGACAACACCATGGTGAGACAACCTGTTCATTTCCCTAAGCAATGATTTGCCCAGAGAGCATGGCAGACCTGTAGACTTTTATAGAAGACACTGGGATGGATTTAGCTGCCTAGATGACTGTGATACGGTCCTGATCTGGACTGTTTCCTACTTCTAGGTAAAGGCAAAGGTTCCCCTTGACAATTTTTGTCCAGTCGTGTTCGACTCTAGGGGGCGGTGCTCAGCCCTGTTTCCAAGCCATAGAGCCAGTGTTTTGTTCGAAGACAATCTTCCGTGGTCACATGGCCAGGGCGACTTAGACACAGAACGCTGTTACCTTCCCACCGAGGTGGTCCTATTGATCTACTTGCATTTGCATGCTTTCGTACCGCTAGGTTGGCGGGAGCTGGGACAAGCGATGGGAGCTCACTCCATCGCATGGATTCCATCTTACGACTGCTGGTCTTGACCCTGCAGCACAGGCTTCTGCGGTTTAGCCCGCAGCACCATCACGTCCCTTCCTACTTCTAACCCGTGGTTAATTCCCATTCCAGGTTTTGGGAAGGGTGCTTGCCCCCTCCTCCTCCTCCCATCTTCTCCTCCCACTTCTAATGCTGCTGCCCAAGTGTCTTGCTGATGTAGGCAGGGCAAGACACACAAAGCCCAATTACTGTATTATTTCAGGCTGTTTTAATCAGTCATGATCTCTCAAGCCTCATCTCTGTCCCACAGGCTGGTTGTGAGCATAAAACTCAGGTGCCGGCGGCTTGTGGGTAATCCCTGAGCTCTTGTGAGGATGAGCAGGATAAAGGCATTTTAAAATGGCAATCCTGATGGTCTTACAGCAATTCTGAGACTTTCCACTCACCCTGACATTTTCTTCTTCTAAAAAAGCAGACTGTAGTCTTCAATACATGTGCAAGATAAGACAGGATAAAAGTTTAAATAAATATGGCAGGCACATGGGCTGCCCTGAGTAGCTGAAAAAAACAGCTGCTTTGCCACTCCTTGGCCCAGCTTGCCTGCGTTACATAAGAAGGAAAATTGGAAATGAGAGAAAAGCCACAAAAGCATTAAAAAGTGATAAAAATCTTAATGTAGCTGCAGAACATTAGTGGGCCTATTTGCAGAAAAGGATAAAAGTCTGCTATTAAGACTGCCCTAGAAGCCAAGTGCCTTTCATGTGTGTGTACTCTGCATGGCCTCCTTCCCCAACAATCTCCTCATAATGAAGATCCTATCTCTCACACAATAACTTTGTAAAGGACCAGCTGATCTTCCTCAGTACAAAGCAAAGTTGTTTTCCTTTTGTATTTAATTTCTTTTCATTCCTGGCTCCCTTCCTTCTTTTGTTCTGGGACTGTTTGAATGAGGCAGCTTTCTGCTAAAGTAGGAAAAACAGGAGTCTCTGGATGAGTAACTTTGCCCCATCCTTTGCTGATTGGTGCTGGCTTAGGTGGGGTAAACTGAAAGAAACACACGCACAAGCACACGTGGTCTTATTGCTGCAGCCCAGGATTTTCTTGCTTTGTGTTTATTTATATAGAACTGCACAGGTTGCTGGAGGAGTCCAAAAAGCACAACCATACAGGAGGGATCACCACATACACGTGGTCCATTCACATGGCTCAGTGGCTGAAATAGATGTTTAAAGGTTAGCACCAAAGCACTTAGCAATGGATTTGAGAGTCTGAAAAACAACACTTTGATCATCTGTTAATCTTTCTGAAGTTCTTCCTTTATAAAACCATTTGTTCTCCAAACAGACAACTCTTAGAAACCATGTTTAGAACAAGCTGCCAGAAAGGAACATCATAATCACAATCATACAAAAGATTAGATGCAGTCGTCCTTACAGTAAAACTACATAAGTGATAGAAAGCTTTCTAGTTTGGGTCACCTTGGAATGGTGGGGTTTGGATTCAATCTATAGGGATGCTGCTGTGCTACAAGAACACTACCTAGGGATGTTTTGTGTTTCATCCTGTGTACTTATGTTTCTGATTGCTGCTGTGCTATAAGAACACTACCTAGGCATGTTTTGTTTCATCCTGTGTACTTATGTTTCTGATATCTCTTTGTCACATTCTGGTCAGACAGAAAGAAATACTACTCCCATCACCACAATATCTGAGATACATGTGCATCCCACAAGAGACCTTTATTTCAAATAATTTCCAACCTTCTGGCTTTCGCCTTTCTTCTTTGAGACCAATCCACCAGAGTGGTCTTACACAACTCTTTCATTTTATTGGAGCTTGTAGAAGCCAATATCCCACTGGAAGTACTGTGTTTCCCTGAAAATAAGACAGAGTCTTATATTAATTTTTGCTCCAAAAATCCATTAGGGCTTATTTTCAGGGGATGTTTTATATTTTTCATGTACAACAATCCATATTTATTCAAATACAGTCATGTCATCTTCTTATGGTTGCTGCACAATGGTGGAGGGCGGGGTTTCACTAAACTGGGGCTTATTTTTGGGGTAGGGCTTATATTACTAGCATCCCGAAAAATCATACTAGGGCTTATTTTCAGGTTAGGTCTTATTTTAGGGGAAACAGGGTAATTTACAGTGGACCCTCGACTTACAGACAGCTCGACTTACAGACTTTTCAAGTTACAGACTTCTCTGGTTGCAAAATTTAGATTCGACTTGCAGCCGGAGAATCTACCTACAACCAGAAAAAACCAAAATGGAACAAAAATAGAATAAAAACCACCGGTTATGGGATTAATCGGTTTTCAATGCATTGTAGGTCAATGGAGATCCGACTTACAGACTTTTCGACTTGCAGCCACCGTTCCAATATGGATTAATTTCGTAAGTGGATGGTCCACTGTATTTGTTTAGACATTTTTAAAAGTATGCAGCTGACGAGGCTTACTGAAATTTGGCTTGTTCTGATGTGCAAACCCACCATGGCTAAGAAGGAATGCTTCGTCAACCATCTACAAACAACATTCTGAAACCACATTTGTTGCTGGTTTATGAGTTTTGGCTTATTTAAACCACTACTTATCATGAAACCCAAACCACCGTGGCTTGTCCCAGCTTATTTCCCAAGCCAGCCACCCCTTGAAAAAGGAGCCAACAAAAACAAACAAACAAAAAGAGCAACAAAAAACAGAAGCAAATCAGAAACGAGCCATCACCTACTCTGGAAATGTATGGCTCCAGTAATAAACTGGGGTTAACACAAAAATACAAACTCATCCACTGATTGATAAAGCCTATAAATGTCCAAGGCCTAGCTGAGCACCCAATTCAGAGGCAGCTCCTAAGAGGATCCATTTCTCCTTTGGACTGCTGTCCTGGGTTTCAGCACTTGTCTTTTCTCCTCTCCCTTTTATTTTTTACAGTAGAATCAAGAGGAGAAAAGGAAATTCAGTCAGTGACAAGAGGACTCAGTTGGTCAGGCAGCAAACCCTTGGACGGGCAAACCGGAAGGGCACAGAGTCCGGCGACACCTTCTACTATATGCTCCTTTTGATGGGAGATGACAAGGACTGTCCATAGGATTTTAGGAGTGAACTGAAACCCCCTCCCACTGAGCTGTAGTGCTCCTTTACCATAGCCCAGAAAAAAATATTACTATACTGGGACTACAAACCGCAGGATCTCCAGCCAGCGAGACCCACTGGTATATTCCAGTCTCTGCTGCTCCCTAAATTCTTGGGGAGTTTTTCTTCTTCGGTACAGCGTCTTGGGTATGATTACTGTATTTTTCAGAGAGTGCATCTCCCACTGGCTGGATCCTTGACCTTAATGGAGCGGAGATGGCCCGCAGACGGTCTGCCACACACACACCCCTTTGCCAAAATGCAACACCGGCCTTATAACCGAAGGATTCCCGCACCTCCGGGTTCCGGCCGCAGCAGCCGCCCTCCCACCTCCCGTTCAGGCTCGATTAACGCACGCCGGGAGCGTGGGCGCCAGAGCGCTTGGGCTGGCCTGTGCCTCCACGCGCGAGCGGCCCACGCGCCCGGCCATGTGGCCGGCTGGGCGAGTGGTCTCTTCTGAGTCACTCCGGGCTCCCGCGTTCTCTTTCTCTCTCCCCCCCCCTCCGCCCGCCCCAGCTTGGAAAAGGAAGAACGAGGTCGCGAGAGCTCCGTCGTGCGCGCGCGTGTGATGGGGACCGAAACCCCCCGCTTAAGTCTTGGAACGCTCATTTTTCTGAACTACAACTCCCAGAATCCCTAGCTGCCAAGAGAGTAGTGTATCTGCCTAAGCTGCGGCTCAACTAACCTGTCCTATGTCACCCTTCTCCCGCATGGCCTCCTAGGGAAGGTTTGCGGTCGCAAGGGGCCTGTCCTCGTTCCCTCCGCGGTCCCAGCACGGCTAGCGGTTGGTGGCCAGGACAGGCGCCCCTCTTCCTCCCGACCCCCCCTCCCAATGGCGACGAGTGGCCTGCCTCTGAGGCGCCACCCCTGAAGCCCAGCCAGGTCCCCCTCGGCCCAGGAAGACGCGCTCCTAGCAGGGCCAACACGTTGAGGCTCACGCGCGCGGCCAGGAGGGGCCAATCGTGGGCGCGGGGACGGAGGCCGCTCTTCTCCATTGGCTGCAAAGAGGAAGGCGGGAGGAGGGGGGCCCTTCCCCCCGCGAACCAAGAGGCGGAGCTTGAGGCGGCGAGCCTGGAGAAAAGAACCGCGGGAGAAGCGAGCAGAGGCTCTGCTGGTCCCCTCGCAGAGCGGCCGCCTCTTCTCGGCTCCCTGTCCGGTCGGTCTGCCGTGTAAAGCAAGGCGCCGTCGGCGTGTGTAGCTCAGCGGAGGGACTCTTCCCGCCGCTTGCCGCGCTGCTCGCCTCCCCCCCCAGGGCAGCTGCGATGCGCCTGATCCAGAACATGGGGACCATCGCCGAATACCCCCAGTCGGGGAACACGCACAGCGGGGAGAGTTGCGGCTCGGGCCGGCCAAGGCTCATCAAGATCGCCGTGGTCGGAGCCAGCGGCGTGGGCAAGACGGGTGAGTACCTGCACCGAGGAAGGAAGGGGGAAAGCCTGGGGGAAGCCTGACCAGGGCTGGGATGAGGGCTGCGCAAGAACGATGGGTGGTCAGCATAAGGGTCCTCTTCTTTGCCGATGGGATGATGACAGCGCTGGGAGGGCAGCCTTCATCTCTGCGGTCCTTTCTCTTCAGGCAAGCTTTCCTGTAATGACTGGCTGCCTGAATGGAGGGTTGTGCCTTACTGCTTTGCACTTGTTTTTGGTGTTGCTTTTCTTTAGTCTGGTTTTTGTTTGGTCCTTTTTAGTATTTGTATGTCTACACCTTTTAGCGTCCAAGCTTGTATTTTAATGACATAAGCTGCCTTGAGCCCTTCTTAGGGAGAAAGATGGAGTAAGAATATTTTAAATAAATAAAAATAGCTCAGGAGGGTGGTTGAGGGAGTTGACCCACAAAGATCCTCAGAGACAAGAGCATGCAGTCGTGCAGCCAGTGTGATTCAGGATCCTATCTGAACATGGCCACAGTGTAGGGACAAGCCATTTATTCCCAAAATTTAAGGAAACCTCTTCGCCAAGTTTGGTGAAGAAGGATTGGTGGAGTAGCACCCTTCTCCCCTTCACCCAGCCACTGCTGCTAGATCATTAGTGGACAATAAATAGCTATTAAGCAGAACAGGTAAACATTATTCCATCCCCTCCCCAAAACATGATACTTGAGCAGCAGTCCCTTAAAAGGGTGACAATCACTCTGTCCCATACAAGTGCTGAATTATTTGGTTTGCATTATTATCCTGCCAGTAAATCTGACTAGCTTTTAAGTGAGAGTTCAGATCAGGGAGTTACTAGAAGCCATCTCTCCCCCATCTGATCTTTAGGGAGGAAATGAGGCAAAAAGGACACGGAGAATTTAGATCTTGGCTTCCTTTTTCTCAAATGCTTTGATGCTGCAGCCAGCCAGCCAGCCAGCCAGCCAACTGAGCTTTGGAGAGATTTACTTCTGATCTGTTGGTTGTTGCTGACAAAATGTTAACTATAGAAAATGATGATGCTGACCTGTTGACTGATGTTCTTCCTGCATCTAAGTTCAGCATTTCAGTTGTGGGTTGGGTGGAAAGGAATTGGAAGGGTTGATGAGCTTGAATTCATTTCTCTCTTTTCCCCCCTAACCTGTATTCCTTTTTGTTAATTGCAGCTCTAGTGGTAAGATTTCTCACAAAACGCTTCATTGGAGACTATGAACGCAATGCAGGTATGGACACTTTCTGCTCTGCCATATTCACAGAGAGGTTGCTACCCCCGAGGAGAGCTCTCAGTGAGCCTTTGATGTCTCACTCTCAAAAAGCTAACCCATACAATAGACCAGTAGAGCTCCTAGTGATTCTATGTTGAAATATTGCAATCTCAGTGTCTGTCTGGTTACGCATACCATGGAGGCCCCCATTCATCATGTTTTCAATGAGACAAAGAGAACTCATGCACAGTCTCAATGTTGCACTAGTAGAATCTTCAAAGAAAAACACAGTTCTTATTTTTTCATGGCACCAAAACTGAGGTGTCCAGTCTCTCACATTCTTTGATTTCTAAAGTCCTTTGTTTCTTTGCCATTCTGCCACATACACATCAGTGCAATGAAAGCTCTTCTCTGTTAAAAAAAGGCAGCTTGAAGCTGTGCAACTGAGGGGGCCAATCTATCTTTCTGTGTGATCAGAGTTGAAGTTGTTTATGGAAGTACATTTGGACTCAGAACCAGAAAAAGCACACAAGGAAGACAAGCCCTTCCAGAAATATGCAGGAAAGCAGGTGGGGCAGAGATGAGAAACATTCCTTTTTTTTTTGGTCTTTGACTCCCAGAATGTTTTGTATCAGTTTGAGCACTAAATGGGGAACCAGAAGACATAGTGTCAGTAGTGGCAACCTTCAGTGTAAAACAGAAATTCTGTCATTGTCTCCCACCTGCAAAAAAATCAGTTTAAGGATTGTTGCACAGGTCCAGTTTGAGGGAAGTGTTTACTCACTTGCAGAATCCTACACTGTAGAAGAAAAGGAAGGGCATGGTCCAAGTACAGTGAGATGCTTTTAAGGTGCTGGTTTTAACCTATGAAGCCCTAAACCACTTGGGTACAAGTTATCTCAAGGACCACATCTCCCTCTATGAGCCTGGCCTGGTGCTAAAATCACCAGGGGAAGCCTTTCTTTCACACTCACCACCTTCAGAAATGTGTTTGGTGGGGACGCAGGAGAGGGCCTTCTCTGTCACTGCTCCTAGACTTTGGAACTCCCTCCCATGGGAGGAAAGACTGGCTTCGTCTCCGATTTCTTTCCACAAACAAAGACTTTTCTCTTCAGGCAGGCTTTCCTGTTGTGGCTGGCTGCCTGAAACGTCTTTTAAAATTTTGTCGATTTACTGTTTTTAGCTATTTTAATGATGTAAGCTGCCTTGGGTCACTGGCTGCCTGAAAGGTTGATTTTATTTCCTCTTTTTAATATAGTATTTATAAGTTTTTTAAAATTTTGTCGATTTACTGTTTTAGCTGTTTTAATGATGTACGCTGCCTTGGGTCCTTTTTAAGGAGAAAGTTGGGATAAAAATATTTTAAATAAACAAATAAATCAGTGCCTGTGGAACATAATTAATACACAGTAGATTGAGTGATATTTAAATTACATTGACAGTTATGTGATCCTGTCTTATCAAAAGTACCCTGGCACCTAATGAAATGATCTTGTTTCTATTGATAGCTGTAACTTCATTTACAAAGCTGAAATTCACAAGCAAGCCTATATGTAACATACACATACACACTGTTCATGTTTATGTACTTTGCTTTTAGGAATCAGTTCATAGCACCATCTTTCACATAGGTTCCAATCCTATACAAATGTATTTGGAAGCAGTCACATAGAATTCATTGGGACTTACTACTAAGTATACATTCATAGTGTTCTGCTGCTAGTCTTATTTCTTCAGGTGAATATATATTTTACTCAATAAAGCCAGCACAGATGAATATTCCCAGCTTTTTCAAGGCAACTCAAGTGGTAGGTTCCCTATCCACACACATGATAAAAAGAGACATTCATGTGTGTGGATAGGGAACCTACCTTGAAAATTAACTTTTGCAGAAATAAACAAATTTTCAGTTATGGTGCATGTTTTTATATATATATGAACTTATTGTGATCAAGTATATTTTTATTATTAGGCAACCTTTACAGCAGACAAATTGAAATAGATGGAGAGATGTTTGCAATTCAGGTCCAAGATACTCCAGGAGTAAAGGTGAGTTGTGTTTCTTGGCTTTTTACAGTGCAAAAGAAAGCTCCCCTTTTGTTGATTGTCTTAAAGACCAGCACTCAATTAGGTTTATTACAAATGGTTCCACCTTGAGGTAGTGGGGCTGAGGTAATGGGGTTTTGCTAGCCATACTAAAGAGTCTTTTGTTGCTGGTAACTAGTGTTGTAAACAGTCTGTGCTTGAATAATGATCTGTATATAATTTCCTGACAGCAAAAGAAAACAAGCCACAATTTCAGCTAAACTTTTGTCCACTTGAAGACACAGCCGTTTCGTTGAGAAAGGCTGCTTTTCTTAAACAGCACTCGCGCTAATGTATTGGGAACAGTTCATTGGCAAACTAAAGATCTTTTCATTTTTATTACACTAGCAAAGCTTAAAGAAATTTTATTGCTATGGATTAATCTTTAGTTTCATAAATACATACAATAGAAAGGAACAGTCACAGTACCAGCAGCTGCACTCATTAAAATTTGTTAAGAGTTGCTCTTATATTATGGAAAGTTTGAATGTATAGACATGAGTAAGGTCAAATTCTGCCTGTTTGAACTGGGCAGATCTCCAACTTTAATGTTTCCATCTCCTACTTTTGTTCTCTCTCCCTCTCCCTGCACTCCAGTCCCGACTTGCTGTCTAGCCAGTTAATTTCCTATTTTGTGGCACCAAAGTCTTTTTCTCTATCTGTATAAATATATATATACTGTACAACATGAGTCAATTTTCCACTTGCATATGGCAAACCTTGGTATAGTCTACCAGAGCAACCCTGTGTAGTCAGTTTTTTTTTCCAACTGGATCAACAAGCAGTAGAGAAGGAGGTGAATTAAACTTTAAGAAAGCATGAAAACTATTGGCATTGCTTAACATGATCTCCAGTAGAGGCTTTAGTTCTTCCTCTGCAGCTAAATCATTCATTTTTCCTTTTCAGATCCATGGACACAGCCTGGAGTGTAATGAGCAGCTGAATAGGTGCATTCGTTGGGCAGATGCAGTTGTGATAGTTTTTTCAATCACAGACTGTAAAAGTTATGAACTACTTGGCCTCTTCCACCAGCATATAAGGCAGTTGCATCCAGGAAACAGAGTGCCAGTGGTGGTGGTAGCAAACAAAACAGACCTCCTCCATATTAAAGAGGTGGAACCCCAACATGGACTTCAGCTGGCCACTATGCTGGGCTGTACTTTCTATGAAGTGTCTGTCAGTGAGAACTACAAGGAGGTCTTTAACGCTTTCCATGGCCTGTGTAAAGATGTTTGTAAGCAACAAACCAGTAGCACCCCAGAGAAGAGGAGAAGCTCTCTTATTCCAAGACCAAAATCACCCAACATGCAGGATCTGAAAAGAAGGTTTAAGCAAGCCTTATCTGCCAAAGTGAGGACTGTTACCTCTGTCTGAAAGACCAAACCAAATGGGCAGGATTTTACCCTTCCTAGTGCAGCATCCTACAATTCCAACTTTGGGTGTTAACTGCTGGTATTAAACCATCCAAAGAATGGCAGGAGACAGTGTGAGAGTTCAGATATGCTTTGAATAGTTGTGGATGTTGTGTAATGAAGGAACAAGACTAGTACTTGAATAAGGGCCTGAAGAAGTGGCAGACCATACACTTCCATGTTGAAAATGGAATGTTTTGATTGGACAAACTGACAATATTTCATTGTTCTATGGTGGAACTTGAATCATGTTGATATTTGTACTATTTTGTCATTTCAAGTGCTGTAGAGGGACAAGGAAGATATATTTTGAATGCCAGCTCACTAAATTGGAAGCCACTTGTGTTTGCATCAGTTACCTAAAGTTGTGGTATTAGATGAAGGTTGGCTTCTTTTGGAATGCTTTCTGGAGCTTTAAATTGTTTTGAATCTGCAGCTGAGGAGCACAAGTGTTGTGCTGATAAAGCAAAATAAAAATAAAACACATAAGTATGAAATCATTAGGGCATCATTAACTGACTGAACTTTTTGACTATGTACCGAGACATTTTGTACCATGAATGTTCACTGTAATTCTTACAGCTAAGTAACATTTATTTAACTTAAAATGTTATCATAGTTGCTTTTCAAAGAATGGACATCTGATGCCATGCTGAATTTATTTGCAGATAAATCTGTATTTTGGTTTTAAATGATTATGGTTGTTGTAGCATCCACCGCTAAACATGTTTTGTTTAGATACAACCTCTTGCTATAATCCAATATGATTTTCCCCCTCTTGTCTATGAAGCTCATTTTTCTTGGCTGAGCCATATCAGTTAGGATGCGAGGGACAATTCACTGTTGCATAAGCCTGCTGTTTGTACCAACATTGTACAAAGCTGAATCATCAAGGCTGGGCACACAAAGCGAGTAGGATTGGGGTTGAGGGCTGACACCAGTGCACTTTATTAACAGCAATGTGCTTTTTCCTCAAGCTGTAATTTATTTATTATTATTTTTTTACTGACAGCAACTTAAATGGAACACACAGTCTGTTTTGTTTCAGCATTAAATCAAACAATATGTTCTTGTGGTTGTTGTGTTCTGACTGCCAAAAGGTGTCTGAAAACAGAGTGGTGCTGGTAGGACCCATGTTGCCTATGGACTGTGGAAACAACCTAAAGTCATTAATGAGTGTGACCATAAAGAGTTGGTTTGGGAACACTGAAGAGGGTGGTAGCCTTGCTGATTTTGATAACAAAATTAAAGTCAATCAGTTCTTGCCACTGAAACAGGGACAGCAACTCTTGTGCAAAGCCATTTGCCTCTCAAAGCCCTTTTTATTTGCTTACTGATACCATTCTATAAAGTTCCTCTCATGCCTCTGGCACTTCTCTTCTAGAAACTGCAGGCATCCCACTGTTGTGCTATGCTAAGGGCGTGTGTGTGTTATGTTGAAAGAGTGGTGTTTTTTTTTTAAGTACTGGGGCATCTTGGGGATGTTGTGAAAAGGCAGACCTCTGCATTAAGTCCCAGGTTCTCAGTGTACTGATGATCTTGCTCCTGCTGGCATAGTGAAGCATACGGCTAGAACCAACACTTGAATGTCTTAATTTTTTGTGTATTACTAATAGCAACACCAAAGTGACAACTCCTTTAGGAAGTCTACAAAAAAATGAGTGCGGTATCAGTGATATGCGGTGCACAATGCTTCTGTGAATCAGTCTGCACTCTATATGTCTTGAATCTGAATTGTTGGTTGTCATTGAGCACTATCTCCATCACAGAACAACAGTGAATAGTGCAAAACAAAACTTCACAGAAGATGGAGGTCACCCACCTTCATAGTCAGCTTCAAAACATCGGGACAGACACCAATACCTTGTGCTCTAACTGAAAATTGGTATCTCACAAAGGCCAATAGGCAAAAGAGAAAGGCACAGTTGCTATAATTAGATGCTCTCTTGGCTTATAAACTTCTGTTAATACAATATGACAAAAACAGAGAGGTAACCATGGAGACTGCCTCATTTTGCCTTTCTCTTTCCTAAGCACTTCAAATAAACAACATTTTGATCTGTTCTGATGGGTTTGTCACCTGTCTGTCTTATCTGAAATTCCAGCACATCCACTGCTTATTGCCCTAAGTACTCAAACCATGTGTTGATTTCTCTAAGTAATGTTTCATAAACGGGCTCTGTTCTCTCCTGCTAGCTGAAGTGTCAGATTACAGTCAAATTTGGATAATCTTCCCAGGGGACTGAAACTAAAAGCCTTTTTAAAAGGTGTAATCTAGTCTGCAGAAGGCCAAACCTCATGGTCCTTTTAACATATTATCAAACAAAATTGCTGGAATGGATTACAATGTAAATAGTGTCTAGCAGTATTCTACAACTGTCAAACTAAAAGAAAAAGAGAGTATCTTTTTTTAAAAAAATCACTGCTTCAAGCAAAGCTTAATAATACAATTCAGAAAAGAAGAATGTCCTGTGTGTCAGCTTGATTTAGCAGGCACAGTTTTTATAAAACTTAAGCTATTATACTTTTGTAAAGAACAGAAAATGACTATCTGTATCTTTGGCCTTAAATCTGTTGGAATTATAATCTGTTCTTTGTTAGAAGAGAATGAAATATGAAACAAACTGAAAAATATATTTCATCCAATAAATCTGTGACTAGCTTGACAAGATATTCCCATAGGTTTGTTTTCAAGGCCATTTGTTTTATCTTCTTAAATGTTCAGTAGACTCAAGGGATAACCTTTCATTCAAAGTACACTGGAGATATATTCCCTTCATCTAGAAAACTAGCATATCATGAAACCCTTTATCCTGCTATGCTAATGTTCTACATGAAGAAGCAGGAAGCATTTTTAACTCAAACTGGTAAAGTCCAGGAGATACTTTATCGTGTGATTCTAATTAAAACATGAAAGGCCCCACGATAACATGAATCTAAGTCTGTATGACATTACAATGGTGGTGTTCACGTTTTTTAAAAAATGTGAACACCACCATTTCTAAGTCTCAGCTCTCCAGGCACAATGAGCTAGTTATCTAATGTGTGAATGCATAGTTATGGTAAAACTTTTTCTCTGTAGTGCCACTTAGATAAATACTACCTGGGAGAATGACTTCATGTGGGACCAGCAGCAGATGGAAAACTCATTAGCAGGCCCTCCCAGTCCTTTCATGAATATTGGTTTGTAATTGGATGACTGCATTTTTAAAAATCCAATATAAGAACTCACATCCCCTATATACGGGATTTTGAACACACACAGTCTGTCAATGACATAATCTAAGACCAAACTGGTCATTTACTACCGAAGAGTCTGAACTTTCTCTTTTCTCAGCACAAGAAAACCAACAGGTATGAAGAAGATTTCAAAAGAAATGGAAGAAAACTCAGTACATATGAAGTGCCTATTTTTTTCTGTAGTTGCATCCTACAAAATTTACAGCACCTAAAACAAGTTATAGTCAAGGATCTTTATCTTCTGTGGGTGCTGGCAAGAACAACCCAGGTTAACAAGGTAAGACAGATTGTACCTAATACAGCAATACTGCAGAGAGAAGAACTGATGTCACAGAAAAAATGAACAAGCCCCCTAGCGGGGTGGGTCAATTTCTTTACAGACAAACATCAAATCAATTTTACCAAAGTTATAATCAAAGTCATCAGTAATTTCAGGGCCTCTTGCTTTTGATGTCTCAAGGGACAGAGTTTATGAGTTTGGTGGTTTCTTTAGGTTGCAGATGCTCATAATTATATTTGACAAAATTTCCTGCTCTTCAGACACCAATGTCTGGGTGGAGATGGTCCGTGGCAAATAGCAACTCCAGAATGTTATATGGTGTCAGGAGAGTTGTGGAGAGTACAATTACCTGAAGAGAAAGAGATATATACGTACACTATTAGAGAGACTAATCCTTGTTGAAGATGCAAAATGTCAGGCATATTCAAGGACAAAGAGTTGTGTTTTGATGAGCGAATACAACCTAGTTCAAGCTGATATGGGCTCTGTATCTAGTTACAAGTAACCCCTTTTACAATCATTCAGAAACATGTTAAATCATCAAAGAAGACTTTGATGAAATTCTTCACTGTGGCCAGTTTACACTGTCTGGAGGCAAGATATCTCAATGAGTGGTTTAAGCATCTGGCTGCAAAACCAGAGGTTGGGAGTTTGATTCCCCACTGTGCCTCCTTGACAAGGGCTGGGCTTGATGATCTGTAAGGTCCCTTCCAGTTCTGCAATTCTAAGATGATGATGATTTCCAGGCACTATGAAATGCCTTACCACCAGCAAGAACAAGGCAAGGAGGGCTATTTTTAACTTGGCAAAGTATCTGTGATTTGCACAATGCCTTTGCACAAAACTAGCACCTTTCTCCTTTAAGGAGCAAAGCACACCACTACTATGGTATATAAAGACCAGCTGCTTGTATGAAAAGATGAAAACAACCTGTCTTAAGTTTTCTGATCCTTAACAGTCCATGCAACAAAGCTGCAGCAACCCTCAGTTTGTTTAATTTGTGCTGTTTGCATAAAAATGCTACTTATATAATGTTGCTTAAGTATGCCTGTTGAGTCGGAAGACTGTCAAAGGATAGTACATGAACCAGGGGCTTGATCTGATAAAGGTTTTTGGGAGAGATTGCTACTGGAAGCTCAGATATGCATGGTTAGGATATTATTTGTACATGTACTACAGCTATCAACTAATTAAGTGGCTTTTAATTGATAATTAAGCTTCTTTTAACTGATTAACCAATTAATTTTGCATACTTCTAAAACTTTTTGAGATGCTTCAATGAAAAATAGCTTACATTTTATAAACTCCTTGCATGAAGCGATACTTGCTGTTTTGTTCCCCAGTGATACAAGAGATGTTATATGCAAAAACAATGGATACTAAAAATTAAGTGTACCATTAATTCTCAATTTACTCAGACTTACATGTTTCTACAGGGGGTTAATCCCACTGAGTTCCCTGGCCTCAGGTAACTGCATCTAGGATTTCATTCTCAACTCCTAAGGTGCGTCTAATGTAAATAATTTTCATTTATTTATCTGGTTGTGAATTAATTCCCATTATTATAAGTTACAGCTCTTAATCAATGTCTTATTTATGCAGGTTGGCCTTGTGCTCCTTTAAGGCACTCACAGATATTCAGCAATGTCACAAACAAGTTTCACTTAAATTACCACTGTCACCTTTGCATTTAATAGCTACTCTACAAATGAAACTATGTTCTCCACCTTTGCCTTGAGTCATCATTTACCTGCATTCTGATGAATATCTTCCAACAGGCTCCTTGGTTGTTGTTGAAAAGAACCCAGCTTTTAAGTTCCTAACTCTATTTCTCTTTAAGAAAGACTATAGTATGATGACTTCATACCATGGAATGGTATGCTGATACTCTTTTCACCTAAACTAATGTTTAAAAGTGGCTGACAGAGCCTTCACATAAACAGTTTTTAAGAAAAAGAGGTTATTTGAAAACATAATCTCAAGCAGGTGGTTAGTATTCAGAAATGTAGATAAATCCAGGTCAATCCAACTAATTCAGAAACTTTATACAACAAAGTCTCAGTAAAACCTCATTTCTTTCCCCTTTTGGCTGCTGGATTCCCCTCCCACTCAAAAGCCCTTTAACCTCTAAAAGTCACAGCTTTACACAGAGGGTATGTGATGGGAAAAGCCACTGAATATGGCCTGAATTCTTTGTCTCACAGTGTGACCCATCGCTGCTGGGGTCAAGCCCAACCAAAGCAACACCAGAATCTGTGTCACTCCTTGTCAAATCTCAACCCCTTACAGATAGTAAGCCCATAGCCTGGCTACATAGTTTTCACTCTCCTCAGTCATTAAATGTCTGCTTATCTTTCAAGCCACAGCAATACATTTGGAGTCTGGATTAACTTGTCCATCAGTGTCCCGCAAATTCAAGGTCTGCTTTCCATAGCAAGGCATTTAATTCACTACACTGAGATAACTGAGATGTTAAATGCAAAAAAGACATGTTAGAAGATGAAAATGTGCTGCTAGAAAAGGTATTTCAGTCTTAGGAATGATCAAATGAGCTCTTAACTCAAGAATGCCATTATGAGGCAAAAGATTGCCTCTTCAGCCCTGCAGGGGCTCGGCATTACCCTGTGTCACCCCCCCCACTAACATTTTCACTAATCAAACATTTAGTCTGCCTGATTTATGATAGCAGTGTTTGCATTCCATTTGAGAAGCACAAACACATTATTTATGTACCATGGGGTTGGCTTAAGTTAAAAAAAAATATGTCTGGACCTCTGATGAAACTTTGAAGCAAAGCAATGCAAGTTCTCTCTCTAAGATGAATTAGTTTGTCATTGATGGCACTGATATTATTTATTAGTTGATTTGATTTATATATGCCACTTTTATCCAACAACAGGTTAAACAATAAAAACACTACCTCTTCAGTTGACACTCCTTTCTACTTATCCTGCTGACTGCGGAGTTAAACATCCATCCCAATATTCTCCCCTGATGTCACTACTGCTAAAAATTTGGGAAGATCCTAATTTGGCAACACACCCTCTTTTTATGCAGCTGAACCTTATTTTTCAAGCCACAGCAATTCAGATCTCTGACTAAACTAGCACTGGCTGCTACTGGACCCTGCTAGGACTGTATATTTCTGATGTCCCTGTTTCTCCTATATCTAATCACTACTACAGTACTTTGTAACAGACTGCACACTGTAACAATAGAATATTTTCCCCCAAATATTCCCACAAGTTGCTTTGGCTCCTTCTAATTTTTTTCCTGCTCTTCTGCAGAGTGTGATGTTCCATTTAAGCCCTGAAATGAGCATCTGAAAGATCATAGCATCCTAGCCACACTGTAGTTGATAGATTTACATCAAGTAAGCATCATAAAGAATGATGACTGTACATATGACTTCTGTACCTGTGTTCCAGGCTTGTACGTCACTACAAGGTCCTTCACTATTTTGGCTTCAGATACCGTCACTCCACCAATCATGACAATGATTACCAGGGAATGATCACTAGGGTGGGGGCGGCTCACCTATGGAAAGAGAAGAGAAATATGTTTGCACAGCCTAGTAAACTAAGTACATAAAATAGGACACATCTTTTTAAAAAATCCTCTTAGTAATTAGCACAAAGACAAATGATGTATCCCTCACCTCCAGTCCTTTGTCCTTCTAATGAGCTTATTTAGACCAGGGAAGTGAAACCAATGTGAAAGATATATCAGGGATCTCCTACCAACTCTCCTCAGACTGAAGAAGCTGCTTGGATGAATAGTGAAATGTTTCAACCTAATAAGAAAGAAGTTCAGTTGCCATGGCTCAACTTCCAGATAATCACACCTGAATGACTGGGAATTTTCACAGATATGATGTATCCTTTGTTCAGCAGATGGTTTGATGTCTATGTTGGGTGCAGACGAAGGACTTGGCACTCCAGCCCCCCCCCATCATCCTTCTCAAAAGCCTGTATGCAATTTGTTGCTGGCTATTATGGCTGCTGGATGAGTGTATTTAACACAAGACAGAGTTTATATAAGTTCTGTTCAGATGACAACATAATTTAGTCCTTTGTCTTCCACTTTCTATTTCCATCTACCTACCATCCTGGTGGACACATCTTTATTCTTCAGACAAATGGCCAACACTCAGTTTTTAGTGTGTGAAAATAACAAGGAATTCAGGGGACATTCTCTGACCTAAAACATTTCTAGACTGATAACTAGGAAATTATTATAATAATAAAACATTCTTCTTTCTCTTTAATAAAAGACAGCTTGCTTGATTACCTCTTGTTTTTCTAATGAAAAAATCTGCAATTTACATGTCTGTTTAAACCCTTTATTTTTGGTTGTCATGCTCTATGAAACTTCTGCACAACAGTTACTGTAGGCATCTGAAGACATCAAATACCATTCATTGGCTTTTATTTTAATACTGGTTGTTTAGAAAGATATTTTGAAGCCTGAAGCAAAGTTTAAAAGCTCCAACAGTGCCCTTCCTGCAATGCTGTTACTGGAAAATCTTACGTTTTCTAGCTTATATGCATGCATGTTTGTGTATATACAGTACATACGTGTATGAATTCTACAAACATGCAAAATTATTTATGTTTTAATTTATAGGTGAAACATAAGAGAGCAAAAACAATTAGTTAATTTGAAATGTATAAGTAGGTACATGGCAAAACTCTTCATGTCCCTGCTCATATTGTACTGAGGAAGTCATAAGACCAGATGCGTACATTATTATTTGAAAACAATGCAAACAACAATTAATGCAAACAACAATTAAACAAATTTAGGACAGTTGTTCAGTGAGCAACTGTCTTAAATTTGACTTGAGAGACTTGGATGTTCTTGGCCAAGATAGAAATTCTCAGCCTTGGCTTTTCATTAGGAAAGAGGGAACAACAGTGTCCTAGGCACAATGTTTATGTTAAGATGACACAGCGCTGTAAAACATACTGTGCCACAGTAGGTTGCAACTACAGTAGGTCCATTTGAATCCATGATATTTACAAAGAGGTTGACTCACCAAATCTTCACTGATTCAATGAGACGTTGACTTACCAAATCATCACTGATTCAATGGGCCTACTTTTAGTGCATCTTGCTACACTAAGCTACAGAATTTTAGCCACTGACACAGCTATAGACGTCAGTGTACTTAAATGCACTAAATTCCATGGGTTTGAAGATATTAAAAAGTCCACGCTAGAAGCTGTCCTAAGTTCAGATCTTCATGTTCCTCACCCCTGTTGAAGAAGGAGGAATTTCCTTAGAGAGGACCAATCACACATACTGAGAACCAGATTTCTTGCAACATTCATGGTATGCATTGTTCTGTAAGTTTCAAATCCCTAGGAACTCCATGGATGGGAGGATCCTGTTTGCTCTTCTAAAGAAGCATTCCAAAACACAAAGCTATGTGTCTGTTGTGCAGCTTGTCAATTATATTTTACTACCAAAAGGAGTGGTGGCATGCTCTGGACCACAAATTGCAACCCCCCCCCTCTACATACAGTCATAATGAGTGGTGAAGGCAGCCACTCCAAAATAACATTTGGAAAGCCTCCATAGATTTGTTGGCTTTTCTTAGGACATGCAAAACAAGATCTTTTGTCTTTTACATCTGGTCCAACAAGTCACAGAGGCAAACAAAGCTATTTGTTTATTAATGTATAGCTTATTCTAGTGTTTCCATATCTTTCCATCTTTAAAGCCATGATATACCTTCCTTTAGAGTTATATGTTTAACTTACCTAATTAAAATCAATGTTTATTTTGACTTTTCCGGCTTTGGTTAGGCATATATATATGCTGTATTTTGTCCTCTGTTACAGCTATCTACAGTGTTTTGTTGTCATTTCATCATGCTCCTCAGACACCTATTCCATCCCCTTCAAGCGGAGAGAAGGAGTGGTGGTGGTTGTCTCTTTTTGTCTCTCAACAAGATTTTTTAAAATTAAAACAGACTTCCTAGTCAAGTGGTCTTTCCAGGTGCACAGCTCTTGAAATCAAACAGAGTTTACAATTAGCATATTTAATTCGCAATCAGATAATGGCCACCTGCTGAGGAGGAGGGGCAGACAATGTGAAGGTGATGTTTTCTTTCCTTCCTCTCCCTGCTTTTGCTCTAAGTTACAAGAAATATTATTATAGTATGTTAAGTTACATATTTCCTCCATCTTTTCTAAAAGCTCAACTGAAACTGAGCCTTGCCTTAAGTTTATTCCTGTCAACCAGATGAAGTAGCTCAAGCTAAAAAAATGCATCCCAAACAGAGTGGGAGAAAAGGAAGGGGCTCAAGTAGTGCAGGCGGATATCCTGATACCACATACAAGAAAACAGCATGTGCTGCACTGATTCAACCGCTTCCTGGCCACAAGGGGACACTCTCAGCTCTGTGGGTAATCCCCTAAATCTACCCTGCACCAAGTTGGAAGGTACAACATTGCACTTAGGAAGGGTGAATAGCTAGCGGTAATCCCTAAGCTTGGATGCCCAGGTTTTGGTGGTGGCCAGGAGTGCATTTGCACAGCTAAAGCTGGTGCGCCAGCTGCACCTGTTCCTTGAGATGTTGGATTTGGCTACAGTGACACATGCCTTAGTAACATGCTGTTTGGATTACTGTAACATGTTCTATGTGTGGCTGCCTTTGAAGACAGTTTGGAAACTTCAGATGGTGCAAAACTGGGTCCGGGCTGCCTGAAGGACTGTATCTCCCTATATGCGCCTTCTCGAAGATTAGGATCAGCAGAGGAGGCCCTCCTCTCGGTCCCACTGCCAGCACAAGCACAGATGATGGGGACATGGGAGAGGGCCTTCTCTGTGGCAGCTCCCAGGCTATGGAACAATCTCCCTCAGGAGATCAGGATGTTAGTAGATAATTTTATTCTTTTATATGTTTTTATGTTTTCATCTTTTAATTAAATTTTAAATTGTATATTGTTTAATTTATCTTTTAATATTTAACTTATTGTGCTTTTAAATAGTGTGAATTTTAATGTGAGCTGCTTTGGGTCCCTTGTTAGGAGAAATGCGGCATCATCATCATAATCATCATTATCATCATCATAATGATCATCATAATGGAACCATGGGGGGGGGAAATATATGTGAATTCACCATCATAGGTGAGCTCTGCAAGGCCATTTAACTAAGTTAAGCCTCTAAGTAAACAAAGTTTTGCCGGATGGATCCCTACATCATTAATTTGGTGGTTTTTAGACTGCCTCTTTGGAGCAGAAAGATGTAACAGGGAGGCATCACTAGACATATCCAACGCACAATGGAATATAGCCTCTCCCTGACCTACTCTGGCATGCTAGAAGAAGAAGGATCCCTAGGAATCTATGATCAAGATCGTCCAAGGTGTGGCTCAGGGCTTCCCACTGACAATCCCTGCATGCCTTGGAAGGCACTGGTGGCATATAAACATTAGCTATCAGTATTTCTCGGGACATGGTTTTGAGTTTTATGTCCTGGAGTTTGCAGCTGCCATCAGACGTAAAGACATAGTCTGATAATAGACAGTCGGCAACCAATGTCGCCTCCGGAGTAGCGCTCTTTTGTCTTAAGCTTCTGTGCTGGAAGTATGAGGCGTAGCCCACTAGGAAAACAGGATGAACTGCCCACATTTCTTGGAGTAGGATGATGTATTTATTGTCCTGCCTCATTCATAGGCCCACAGAAGGGGGCTCATAGCAAAATTCTGGGTCAGGATAGCCTCCACTCATACCATGAGCTCTTACAGCATGGAACGTATGCGGGAGTAGCACCTAATGGGACATGGTCCTCCATTCGTGTTTCCTAGTACATTTACCACAGAAAATCATTTAAAGAAGATACGGTGGGTTTGCAACACACCTCTTTTAATTGTCTTCAAGCACTCCAGGCAAGGAAGAAAAAGGGGTGTGTTCAGTAGCCTGAAGCAATCCTACCTGACTCTGCATACGCCTGCATATTGTTGCACGGTGCCCAAGAAACATAGATATAAAAGTATAAAAATAAATTTAAACCAATGTGCTCTAAAAACTTTTGCGGTGGAGTACATCCCCCCCAACCTCCTAAATGGTGACTCACTCAGTGTTCAGACTGTCATTCTGTCTGGCACACTGCCCTTTCAACATCTGTGTATACTCTGCTTTCCAATAAAAGAGAATACCAATGGAAATCAACTGTACTCTGTGGGTCTTCTGTTCCACTTTTAAGGCAAAACAGTATGTAAAATGACAGCACTAATTTCATTGTTTGTTCCAGGAAGAACCAAGATCTTTCTACATTGTAAATAGAAACAAATGGGCTCCATAGATACATAAGAAGTAGGTCAAACAAAACTCTAAAATTGCTGAGCAGTGCTGCAACTTTTAATCACTGTATTGTTCAGTGACTTGTACAGGCTTAGATGACTTAAACTGAAGAAGAAACAGATTATAAACATGAATATTACCTACTGAGAGCTGATGTTAAAATATGCACTTTAGGGCTCTGCAACTGGAGATTCTTAAGACTTTACTGCCAAGATGAAAGAT